TGTTTGGTTTGTTACAAATGTCAGCAGTGCCCCTCTAGAAATTTGGTTCGGCTTTTAAGGCATTTCTGGCTGCGTTTGTGTGTCCTGCAGCCATGGTCAGTCTCACTCATTGAGCTAACGAGATGTGACCTCTGTTTCCGAGAGCTCAAGACACTTACATGCCCATGACAGAGGGGCCATAAAACCACACCAGGTAAGAGGTACATTTAGGGCACCGCTTTGTTTTCAGCGTAGTCTCTTGAGAAGAATTGGGCTGTGGCCAGCGCTGACCTCAGTCTTTTTGTGGGCTAAACTCACGTCTTTATTCTGCTTGGCAGTGTGGGCCACGAAGAATTCTCAAATGAATGCAAGAATTTGTGGTGTGCAAGATGTCTGAAAGTACCCTCCATTGTTTGTGTGTTTCCTCGGTGTGGTGTTACAGATGGGTCTGTGTGACAGAGAGGAGAGAGTCTGCGAGCCCCGATGGGTTGACGCTGTGAATGGCTGTGCTGGAGCCCTTTTAAGCAGGGGGAATATCCATCTTGCACTGTTGTTGGAAGTAATTATGAATCTGTTTTCATTTGAGGCAAGAAAAGCCCAGTAGATGTCATTTCAATGTTTAAAATGTGAAGCTGAGGCATAAATTAGTGCCCTGCTGCTACTGATCCGTAGAGGAGTCACGAGCTTTGAAAGAGAAACAGACCCAAATGCTGAATGTCACTGGCTGTGCAAAAAAAAAGTACATCATGCTGGAAGGTGAGTTTTAGGCTTGTCTGCTTTTATGATACTATACTAAAAGAAAAACTGAAAAAACCTCTTCTATCCTTTTTGATGTAGGAAGGGGAAAAAGCCTGTCTTCTACTCTGGGCATGTCCAGCCTCAGGTTTACTGCTTTAACAGGAGGATTTTTGGAAAGAGATGAAACATGCACTGGGAGCTCTCACCAACTGAGAACGTATCTTTTTTTCCTCAAGACCAGGCTGGGCAGAACCTCTCGTTTTGATGAGAATTAGGACCAGGACCTCTCGTGCTGGGGCTCTGCCCTCTGCTTTTGTTCTGGTGCTTCTTAACAAGCTTCAAGTCCAGTCTTTTGACCCTGTAAACTCTTCTGTACCTGTAAGTTGGGGATGATGCTAGCTTACCTGGTGGTGTGTTTGAAGGAGAAATTGGTGATGGTGAAGCCTCAATGGTGAAGCCATCGGTGGGCTGTTGACAGCACAGCTCCACATCTGTCATGGCTTATGGATACAGGGTGGTGACCTGCCCATGGGGGAGTTGCCCACAACTGTGGTGGCCTGGCGTAGTCAGAAGCTTGAAGCAAGCAGAGCTGAAACAATGGCTCAAATAAACACCTCCAGATGGTTGTAGGGCAGCGGAAGAGCTGCTGGCTCTGAGGCATCTTGCTGTGCTTCCCAGATTGCTTCTCAGCCAGGGGTGGGCAAGAAGGCTGAGACCTGAGTGCTTTTCAGGAGAGACTGTGGCAGGTCCTTATGTGTGGGAGGTGGGAGTTGGTGGGAGCTGCTCAGAGAAGGCAGATTCATTCATCTGACCCTTGAGGGTGTCTCGAAACACGTGGACTGCCGTGGCTATGAGCAAGGGAGCAGACTCTTTGCCGAAGCTCTTATTCTCCAGATGCTTTTTATTGCTACCGTAGATGGGAATTAAGTGGGTTCTTACGGACGTTCCCTGCTCGTTGCAGATTCCCAAAGGACACTTTTAGGCTCTGTGGTGGGTAAATAGGGCTGACCCTCTGAGTCCTGCAACTGAAGTCCCCCGTCTGAGTGCCAGAGGAAGGGGACGGCGTGCCAGGAGAGGTGAAAGCACAAGGCCTGGCACTGGAGGAGCTCGCTCGGAGGGGGAGGAGGCAGGAAGGATGTAAGTGTGTATTTAGGCCCGCTTCAAGGAAAGCTGCAAAGAGGCGTTGGCATTTACATACAGGAGTTAACATGTAGGTTGTCGGGTGGTTTTTGGTTGTTGTTTTTTTTTTTTTTTCCTATTTTAAAAGACCAGGTTCGGTTGAGTAAAAATTGGCCTTTCCTCACAGCTTGAGCCCTCTTGCCGTGTGGCTGGCTGGGCAGCTCCCGCGGCGGGCAGGCCAACGCGAGGGGTAGGGAAACCATAGGAAACGCTCACTTCCACCCTTTCTCTGGTTTTTTTTTTTGCGAGGCAGCTTTTTTTATCGCCCTTGTGAATGTGTCCAAAAGTAGCAAAAGAGCTTGAAAGGCCCCACCGCGTTCCTTCTTCCTTTTGCAGGTCAGCTTCTCCCCACGTTCCCCTCCAGTAAGTGGATGTTACTGGTATTTACTCAAAGAGGCTAAAAGTCAGGAGATGAAGATTATTGGAATGGAGAGAAAAAGGGGGGGTCTTTTGTGTCTTTTTCTTTCAGAGCTTGGTAGATGCGAGCTCTGCCTCTCGCGTAGCGCTGTGAGGCCCCGTGGAGAACCTGCCTGTGGAGGAGAGCTTCCAGCGCCGGGGGAGGTTTCTGCCTGGGTCCCTGCACCGCTCCGGTTAACGAGGCGTGCTGGCTGTTGGCAGGTTTCCGACCGGCTGCCACTCCACGCCACTTTCTCTCATTAGGTAGGATGTTTTTAGGCGCTGGATCGAGTTTGCTTCCATCCTGTGCAGACCTGGTGGTGGTCTGCCTTTTACACACTCCAATTTACAGAGCCAGCCCCACGCTACTAAATTATTAAGCTGCGTTTTAATAGAAACCCCTGTGTAGGCTTAAATTGTTTCCACTCTATTTGGAGTTTCCTGCTCTGCTGGTTTTTATTTTGTCCCATGCATGGAAGCGTGGAGGGAGGGATCCACAGGAAAGCACAGAGGCAAAGATGAAGAATTCAGCCTGAGAGCACTAGAAAGTACAGACAAAATAAAAGGTCAATTGGCTCCGTATCCAGCTCTGATGGAGGTGATAGGGGGGAAAAAAAAAAAGCTTCCTAATCCCCATAACAGTTCAGCGGAAACTTGTGTGTTTGTTTTCAATGCTGCTTGTAGGTTAGATTGTCTCAATAAAATATTTTCTTGCCCGACTGTTTTTTGTCTTGACAAAAGACTTGGCTTGGTTTTTAGCAGCGCCCCAGTAAATTTGTGTTGTCCCTGATGGCAGGTACAATCGCTGTCCTCCGCTAAACGGGCTGGGTCTGTCACACAGTTAAACTGAGGGATGTTGTTTCAACCAGGGACCTCCTGGTAGACCAGGAGTCCTCAGCGCTGATTCCCTGAGGCCACTTCATCGTGGGTGGTGACCTCTTCCCTCTGGGGGTAACTAGACGGGAGAGGTTTGGAAGACCAGTGATAAGAGGAGGCAGTGGGATAAAGCTGGTCGGCGTGGGGTTGTTCATCCTGGAGAAGAGGAGGCTGAGGGGAGACCTTATTGCTCTCTCCAACTCCCTGAAAGGAGGGTGTAGAGAGGTGGGGGTCGGTCTCTTCTCCCAAGTCACAGGCGACAGGACGAGAGGAAATGGCCTCAAGTTACGCCAGGGGAGGGTCAGGCTGGATATTAGGAAAAATTTTTTCACCAAAAGGGTTCTCAGCCATTGGAATGGGCTGCCCAGGGAGGGGGTTGAGGCCCCATCCCTGGAGGTGTTCAAAAGACGGGTTGATGTAGTGCTGGGAGGTATGGTTTAGTGATGGTGTTGCTTTTTGTTTGTTGTGTGGGTGCCTATTTTTGTCAAAATAAGGTCGACGGTTGGACAAGATGATCTTTAAGGTCCCTTCCAACCTAGAGGATTCTGTGATTCTGTATCTGCTGCTGCCCTTCTCTTGGCAGCCCCTGTGGGCATACGCTGGGACCCAAGTGAGGGGACAGGGGACTCCTTTCCACCATGACAAGACGTGGTTGCAAGGATGTGTTCCAACCACTCAGACATACCAGTTTGAAGAGCCCTCATAGAGGAGCAACTGGGGCTGTTGAGCACGGATCAAGTAAGTCAAAGTGACTGAGCTTCAGGTGTGGGCTTGGAGCAGATCTGTTACCGAGCTCTCTGAGTGTATGGTGTGTCTTACAGCGTGGAAAACAGCTTAAACCATCTGACTTGGCTTAAGTGTACACAGTACTAGCAGGAGTCCTGCCTGGGGTTTACGGGTCTGGCTGAAGAGAAAGTTGGGCTGTGAGTTCTAAAGGCTACCTTCGTCACTCAGTGGCAGGAATAGCACCGCGGTTCCTGTCATTGTCATCACGCTGGAGCCGTGTTTGGGTACTCACTGTGTTTAATTGCATGGCCGATTTGCTTAATGTTTCTCCTGGGGTCACTCATAACACGTTTATTCTTAGGATTCGGGGAAATTAGGGACACTAGCAGGCTGTTGTGTTTCTCTCCCAAGGCAGGAGTTTTCCAGACGTTGATGGCAATAACAGCAGCCCTTAGTCACAGAGGAGCTTGGCTAAGGCAGTGAAACGAGTGCTGTGGTAGGGCTTAATGCTTCTACATGAATGATCTCCACTGAAAATGTGCTACAGACTGAACATTAGGAAGGAATTTTTCACAGAGAGAGTGGTCGGGCATTGGAATAGGCTGCCCAGGGAGGGGGTTGAGTCACCATCCCTGGATGTGTTTAAGGGATGTTTAGATGGGGTACTGAGGGACATGGTGTAGGGGAGGACTTTGTAGAGTAGGGTAGATGGTTGGACTCGATGATCCCAAGGGTCTCTTCCAACCTGAATGATTCTGTGACTCTACAGGGGTAGGTGGAGGCCAAGAGTTCCCTGGGTTTGGATAACTTGGAGGATATGCATAAAGTCTACTGGGAAATCCCTGTAAATAAAGAATTTTCTGATTAAAATACTCAGCATTTGGGTGTAGAAATGTGGTGGGTGTATGTCCTCCCTGGTATACAGCTGTGAATCATTCCATTTCATGACAAACTTGTTGCCATGAGGAGCTCCTCTGTACCTGTCTGGTAGCTCCAGTAGGGCATCTAACATGCTTCTCGGTTGCTTTTAGGAAAGAAAACGTGCTGAAAGGCCTGTGGTAACCATCAGCCTAATGCGCCTCGCTCTGCTTGTTGTTTTTAAACAGATGGACCTCTCTGTGGAAACTCTTTATAGCTTCATGCAGGAGCGCCAGAAGAAGTACGCCAAGTATGCGGAGCAGATCCAGAAGGTCAACGAGATGTCTGCCATCCTCCGCCGGATACAGATGGGCATCGACCAGACCATCCCGCTGATGGAGCGGCTGAACGGCATGCTGCCAGAGAGCGAGAGGCTGGAGCCCTTCAGCATGAAACCTGACCGGGAGCTGAAGTCCTAGTTGATCCAGCAGGGCTCCCCCTCCTCACCTTCCGCTCTCCGGCCTTCAGCACGGACACGCTGCCGAGGGGCTGGGCTGGCAGAGGTGTGAAGCAGACGGCAGCGCTGCCCGACTCTCTGCCAGGGCATGGGAAGGAAGAGCAGCCTCAGCTGCCAGAACTGCACAGCCAGGAACCCAGGAGCTCCCTGGTCTGGAGAAGATGATCTACCGTTCTTTCATCTCCCTCCTCTTGCCCTCCTGTCTCCTTTGCCACCACCGCCCGTGCAGAGACACTTGTTTTCGTTGCTGTGACTAGTTTGGGGTTTACAAAGGAGGAGTTTTCTTTCGCATGTTTTGTTTGGTTTTTTTTTACTTTTACTAGAAAAATTCAAAGGGATACAGGGTGTGACAAACCCTCTAACATGGTTTTGGTGCCACTGGGGTGTAGACAATTAGATGGCTGGCAGGTATTTTGGAGATCCCCTGGCCTTAGAAATATGTGTGTTTTATAGGTGAAAGAGCAAGAGCCAGGAAGTGGCTTACTAAAATCTGCCTATTATCATAATTAACATGGTTTGCATGGCAGGGTTTTGGCATTTCCTCCTCGAGGCTCCTGTTTTTATGTGCTCACTAATTTATGAGGCTGTAAAGGAATAACTGTTCCAGATCTGTGTGTACGTTAACGTTCAGCAAGCCTTAGTGCTCCTCTCCCCCTGGCCCTGGCAATGTCCCCGTGTCCCAGCCGGTGGCATTTCGTGTCCTTCACCTTGCACAGGGATTCCGACAGGCGCCGACACCGACCTGCTCGCTTTGCATCCCCAAGCTGGAGGCATGAGGTGGCTTTTTTTTTATTTTTATTGAGACACTCCAGCTATCTTAGCGCTGTCCTTCTCTACCAGAGGGATAAAGTTGTTTCTTTCAAGGGTATGGAGTTGGAGGGGGGAGATCAGAGAAGTCCTTTTAGGTCTTCTCCTTGGCTTAGCTGCTGTCATGCCGAGAGCTTGCCTGAGCCTGGTGTTTTGTGACGGAAACCACGTGGCCCTTTGGGACCCTGCTCAGCGAGCTGCTCCAGAGGCAAGAGGATGCTTTTCCCTTCTCCTGAGCCGAGGGCTCTGCTGGGAGGTGGGTACCGTGTCCGTGCTGCCCGGGTGTTGGGCTGGCCCACAGGAGATGGCCACCGGTCTGCTGCCTGCAGGCGATGCGCAGCACCTCCCTCAGCTTTGGTTTCTCCCCCTGTAAAACAAGAGGACGTTCTACACGCTGGTGTAAAAATATTTACAGATCTAGAAATAAGGTTTTAGCAGCCTGTGTCACCGTTGTGTGGCAGCTCTTGTCTGCAGCAGAAAGGGTGTGAAACCAGAAGGGAGGAGTTCACTGGGCCAAGGGGAGGCTTGTGTGTGTTTATGTTGGTCCCGGGGTGCTGTTGCTGGCGAGGAGGCTGAAGTGTGCCCATGAACCCCAAGGGTTTTGTACCTCAGGCCTGCAATTCCAGTGGTGAGGACAGCTGTGTTTGAGGGAGTTCCACCTGACAGCTCATCTGCCAGGACACCACCGGGCTAGGTGTCCTGCCAAAGGTGACTTGCTTCAGTACCTCTTAGTGCTTAAGAATGCTTAATCAGCAAAAGGCAGGTCTCTGAGCATTCAAGAGTAGGAGCATGGTAGGTTTTTGATGGCATTAATTGCTGGCTGGTGGCAGAAAGCAACAGGCCACTCTCTTGTTGCATTCCCAAAGGCCATGGAGCATAAACTTTGTGACACGGGCTGTGGCTGACGTAGCTGTGGATCTGATCCGTAGCGCCCATCGGACCCCAGGGCCTGCTGAACAGTGTCTGAAAGCAGAGTCCCATAGAGGTGAAGCCCCCTGGAGTGATGCTCTGGGAAGAGGATCTCGCGAGGAACTCGGCAGATTTTTCTAGTAAAGGCAGCAGAGTGGGCCTGGTTGTCTACTGCTTCCACCCCAGGGTTGTTCCGTGGTTGTGTGCACATAGGCCTCTGCTGTGTGTTGCATGGGATGTAAGATCAGGCTTCAGTCCTTGCTCGTGCGTCCTGCAGTATTTTACACTGGGTTTGTTAAAAGCTTCCACGAGACGTAACAACCCATGAAGACCTGCTTGTCGTAGCCATGCCCGTGGGGGTCCTCCTCCTTCATCACCGAGTGTGTCTCTGCCTCCCCTCCTCAGACACACCAGAATATCCAGCAGCTTTAAATAGCGGCTGCAGGCGTTCCTGTCCTCCTCCTCCAGATGCTGCTGTCTGGAAGTTTAGGATGTGCGACATTCAGCCGTCTGCCAGGAGGGATCATGGATATCCCACACCCTGCCGTGCTGGAAGCCTATACCGGTGGGAAGATCCTGATACTGGATCTTGAGGCAGGGGTTAGGCTGCAGATGCTCTCTTCTGGAAAGCTTCTGGACGTTTTGCCTCATGCTATTAAGTATCAGATCAAAGCGTTGCTCCTTGCAGTGCTAATGAGGGCAGGCGAGTGTGTGTTCCCGTCTGAAAGCTGCAGGAGCAAGGGCTGCAAATCAGTTCCATCCTTATTTGCCATAAACCACCTAGACATGGGGCTGATAATGGGAGAAAATGCTTGTTCCAATGAACACATAAGCCTTAAAGCTTATGAATGTGCTGCTGGGCCTCCCAGACAGAGCTTTCTGAGCAGCAAGGGTAAGCTGTGAAAACCTTAGTAGCTTAACTAGAAAGAAATCAGAGCTGAAACGTGAAGGCCGACCTCTTCCAAAGCATCACCTTCATCCCATGGGTGAGAGTCTTGTGCATGGGTACTCTAAGATACCGTGCACCCTCTAGCTGTTCTCAAACGATGGTTTACAGTTTTAAATAAAACTTTGTCACTGGCTTCATTAACTGTAAGTCTTTGGACCTCTCAGTGAGGGGAAGACATTTCCTGCCACGTCTTCTGGAGCTGCTGTTCGTTGCGTGGCTGCTCCCCCTTGGCTTTGCTCTGCACGCTGCTTTCAGCTCCATCTTGGATGCAGGTGATGCTCAAGGTGAGACTGTTGCTTTATTCCCTTTCCCACTGTTTGGCAGAAGATTTGAGATGTGACTGGAATTACCTTTCTGCTTATGAATTCCCTTTTCCAAGGCAAATGCTGTTGGAGAAGGCCTCAGGTATCTCTAACGAATGTACTAGCCCTTACTTCTGCCACAAAATTAGTGCTATGAACAGAGAATAATCTGCTGTGCTCTGCTGAACACAAACCTTTCTGCCCTTTTCTTGGTGGTGTGTGGTCTGGGCTGCGGGCTCAGCTATTTGATGGACAACCTTCTGAAAAGCTGGAGAACAGGGTGAGTCTCTGGGGCTGTGGTTCCCTGCTGGCCCGAGCTGCTCTGGTTCTTCCCCTGCCTGCTCTTGTGACCTCCCCTTGGTGCTGCCGCTGGCGCTGGTTGCATCCTACACTGGTCAACGTGCTCCACGTGCAGAAGAGGTTTGCTCTGTTGTTTCCGTTGTTCTGTAATTTCATACATTGTCAGGGTGCTAAAGTGCCAACCTATCTGCAGGGTGATTTCTGTGAAGATCCAGTGAAGGGGACAGAAGAGAGTTGTGGTGTTTTTTTTTTTTTTTAAAAACAATAAATCTGTATTTTAAATTAAATATATTTAAATATATTTAAATATTTAAAGTGTATTTCCCCTCCTCTAAGCTTTTACATGGAAAGAGTAGAAATAACATGTTTTTCCCAGGTCCACTCCCTGCATGAGCCAGCCCCCTCTGGGACTGTGTGCCAGTGGTTTCCTGAGGTACTCTCCTAACATCCCTCCTGTTCCCGAGCCACCAGGGTGTATATTTTGGTGATGACCAGCCTGGTGGCTGAGCGCTCTCCTTGCTTTATGGGTTATTATCCTGTTGGCAGAGCTGCTCTGCTTTCAGCTCCCTACGTGCTACGTGTCCCACAGCCCTGGCATTAAAACGTTTGGTACCGCTCTTTTCCAAGTGTGGTGTTTCTCTGGTCGCCTCCCGTATTCTTCGTTTCCTGTGGGTGATGTCTGTGGGCTCTACACACCCTTCAGCCTGGGAAGCCTTGTCGTAGCTTTTACTGCTTTCTGCTCGGAGTCAACTCATTTCCATGCCATGGAAAGGGCTGGTTCCAGCTGCCCTGGGGTTGCCTGCCCTGGAGCTGTAAGGAAACGTGTGTCCTGGAATGAAAATAGATGTTGGGGTTTGGGGGATGCTGTCCCAATTCCGGTTGGCACTTGATGTCCAGTTTCAATCCATGATGTGCCCAGGGCTGTCTTGTGACTCCCCAGCAATGGGGTGGGACTCTGGTTCAGCCGCTGCCTGCCTTCTCTGTGCTGGTGGCCTCTGGGAGGTAAAGAAGAGGGTCTGGGTTTGATGGACTCAACTTCCACGCACAAAGCCCCTCTGCTGTGAGACACCCTCTGCCTGTTTGAGTGCAGCTGCACCGTGTCTGCACCCGGTGGCTCTCCTGAGATTCAGCAGTAAGGGGGAACGTGAGCAGAAAAGTGGGGGGAGAGGGGAGGGAACAAAATTAAAAATACTTCTCTTCCTCTCAAAAAGAGCCACGTCCTGACAGATCCTTTACATGGGTTCTTTGCCAGATTGCAGGAGGAACTAGAGATGGGCATCCTGGGCAACTTGGCTTTCAGGGTGGCCCCTGCTGATTCTTCACACATCACTGAGTGGGTCAGTCTCCACTTGTAGACAAACTTCAGCCCCTTTGCAGCCTGTTTCTGTGAGGGTTCTTGGCTTACTTTGAGCTGCCATATTTGGATTTTAACTTCAATGTGAGCTTGCACAGGACAGCCTGATCCTGGGGAAGGTGAGAGAGAGAGAACAGCTCACCCAATGGTCCCCAGGGCAGTGATGGGTGTGCTCAGGGAGAGGAGATGGGGATGTGTGATGGGGAGAAGAGAGGAGCATTCAAAGGGCAATTCTTAATATCAGCTGCCTAAAATAACGCTTTTGTCTTTTTAAAAGTTCTATATTTTAACAGACCCTCATGGGGAGGGTGTGGAGGTAATGAAATGTGATGATGACCTACCGTAGGACAGTAACACCACCACAGAAATACGTGAGGATGGCTGGAGATTTTGCCAGTACCTTGCTGGGGGTGTTGCCTGTGTAGCAAATGAAGGATTGGGTTCTGTTCTCTTAACTCTGACACAGGCAAAGCTACTGGGAAGCGCAGCGGTACCGCAGGCTCGACAGCCTGTCACAGGGATTGGCAGAGACCAAGCAGCCAGCTTTCTGATTGCAAGATTTTATTAAAAAAGCTGCTGTAAGAGCTGACTGATGAGGGGAATCCAGCTTCTCACCCAATGGTCCCCAGGGCAGTGATGGGTGTGCTCAGGGAGAGGAGATGGGGATGTGTGATGGGGAGAAGAGAGGAGCATTCAAAGGGCAATTCTTAATATCAGCTGCCTAAAATAACGCTTTTGTCTTTTTAAAAGTTCTATATTTTAACAGACCCTCATGGGGAGGGTGTGGAGGTAATGAAATGTGATGATGACCTACCGTAGGACAGTAACACCACCACAGAAATACGTGAGGATGGCTGGAGATTTTGCCAGTACCTTGCTGGGGGTGTTGCCTGTGTAGCAAATGAAGGATTGGGTTCTGTTCTCTTAATTCTGACGCAGGCAAAACTCCTGGGAAGCGCAGCGGTACCGCAGGCTCGACAGCCTGTCACAGGGATTGGCAGAGACCAAGCAGCCAGCTTTCTGATTGCAAGATTTTATTAAAAAAGCTGCTGTAAGAGCTGACTGATGAGGGGAATCCAGCTTTGAGAACATCCTGTGATGGAGCCGTTTCCCTGCAGGAAAGAGGTTAGTCTAATGAATTTAGGAAATGGGTGATTTAGAGAAGAAGTAGATGTACCTGCAGCAGCATGGGGTTCTCCTGGCATTGGGAAAGCAAGGTGCTGATGGACTGTCACCCAGGGTGACCGGGGTGCTAAACGGAGGGAGAGGTAAATGTAGGGGATTTCTTGTCTTTAAAGTGATCCGATGCCCCTGCCTCGTCACTCCTGTGTCACTGTCTGGCTTTGTACAGCAGTGGTGCTTGGTGAGGGTCCCTGTGAACAGCAGCTGAAGGCCACATCTCAAAGTAAGCATTCCCTTCCAGCAGGGCAGTTCCCAAAATGTCTGGTTTACGGTATTTTATATGCGAGGAGAGCTTGCCCCCTCCCAGAGGCTAGAAATAGCTCCCTTTCCTTTTCTATTTATAGTGGCTCTGGTTAATATTCTCGGAGTGTGGGATGTCCAAAGGCTTCGCTGCAGAAACACTTCATTTGCCTCAGAGCAACCTTCTGGGCCCAAGGGCCAAGGATTTCTCTGCAGACGTAGTTCAAAGGGAAGAGGCAGGTGCCAGGCTGTACCGATACGTTAGGAACACTGCTCTTCTACCTGTATCCCCAGCTGTGGTTCTCTGTGTATCATAGAATAGTGGTGTTGGATTATAATGTCTAAAATTACTAGACTAATTCTGCTTTTCTCAGAAAGTTTAGGAACAAATACAGGCTGGCTAGGTGTTCAGTGAGAGGCTATGGCTAATTAATATGTCTACGTAGGCAAGTTTGATTAAATCTCATTCATTTCAGATTTAACAAGGGGCAGTCTTTTACATATTCCTTATGAGGAATCCTGTGCTCTCTCCAGGAGAGGTGCCTGGGCTTTTGAAACCACCACTTCCTCACAGAAATAGATGTAGAACTTGGGCTGTGAGTCACACGAGCAGCCAGCTGATGAACATCTAGTTAGTAAAAACAGCAGCTCACGTAATTACCACGTTCCTACTCTGTCTCTTACTCCCACAGACCCCCCCAGCCCCCTCCAAAGCCCCCTGGGTCCATGCTGGGGGAAGGTCTGCCCTGTTCTCAGTCCACTTCATGGTAGGAATTTAACTGGGATGGTTACATCAAGAGCCTGGTGACCTCAGGGACTGGGTAATCCCAATAACGTCAGCCAATGAATTGAAAATTAAATGTTGATGACATGTCTGAGACATTTCAGTTGCCTCTTGGGTTTTTAACTGGAGATGGTGTTGGACTGTGTGTTCACAGAGCTGTCTCATGGCAGGTGAAAGGAGGAGTGGGGAAAACTAGAGTGTGTGCTTCAAAAAACAGACCTGCAGGGGAACAGACAGAGCTAGTTTGACCTCCTGGGACCAGAGCTGGACTTTGGAGTAGGCTGAGGGTCACACCATCCCGTGGGACCCGGACAGAGAACCTAATGAGGTTCAATAAAGGCAAGTGTAGGATCCTGCCCCTGGGGAGGAAGAACCCCAGGCACCAACAGAGGGTAGGGATGGACCTGCTGGAAAGCACTGCTGAGGAGAAGGATCTGGGGGTCCTGGTGGACAGTAAACTCTCCATGAGCCAGCAATTTGTGGCCAAGAGGCCAGTGGGATCCTGGGCTATGTAGGGAAGAGTGTGGTCAGTGGGTGGAGGGAGGTCATTCTCCCCCTCTGCTCTGCACTGGGGAGGCCACAACTGGAATCCTGCATCCAGTGCTGGGCTCCCCAGGTCAAGAGGGACAGGGAACTGCTGGAGAGAGTCCAGTGAAAGGCAACAGAGATGATGGAGGGATTGGAGCATCTCCCTGATGAGGAAAGGCTGAGAGAGCTGGGGCTCTTTAGCCTGGAGAAGAGAAGGCTGAGGGGAGACCTTATTAATGCTGACAAGGATCTAAAGGGTGGGTTGAGGGAGGATGGAGCTGGATCCTTTTTGGTGGTTCCCAGTGACAGGACGAGGGGCAACGGGCACAAGCTGGACCCTGGGAAGTTCCACTCCAATCTGAGGGAGAACTTCTTTGGGGTGAGGGTGGCAGAGCCCTGGCAGAGGCTGCCCAGGGAGGGTGTGGAGTCCCCTTCTCTGGAGATCTTCAAGCCCCGTCTCGATGCTCCTGAGTGCTGTACTCTGGGCAGCCCTGCTTTGGCAGGGGAGTTGGACTGGATAGTCTCTAGAAGGTCCCTTCCAGTCCCTTCCAACTCTGACAATTCCCTGATTCCAGGAGGGAAGCTAGATTAAGTAAATCTCAGGAGATTGTCAAGACAACCTGTTTTTTAGGATAACAAGGTGATGCCATGTAGGTCTAGTGTTGTGCATGGCTCTTGTTTTCCCATGCAACGGGTAAAAGCTCTGCACGTAGGAGCGGGTGGGTCTTGTTTGTAGAACATACAGAAGCTCACACAGGCTCTTACCTGGGCTCGGGCTGAAGGCAGTGTCTCCTCTAGAGAGAGACTCAGGAATCTAAAGATTCTGCATTTCCTTTTCTGGAGTTATGTTTTGAAATGCTCTTAAAAAAAATGTTTCTGTTACTGCACTTGAATTTGAAGATGCCGTGACGCAAACTTGTAGGCTTTGCCATTTAAGGGTATAACCACAAGGGCCATACTCCACTGCAGGATTCAGTTTCAATATATGCTACGTTTGTATAAGGTATTCTCTGAAGGAGCAATGAGAGGCATATCCCCCTCCCTCAGCATTCAGTGGTCGCTCAGGCTGCTTCAGGACTGGCAGAATCAGCCAAAACAAGTATTCAAACAAGTAATTAAATTCTTCTTCAAAGAAGAGGTATGGGAGGCAAGGAAAAAAATAAGGGGTTCGTGCAGGGGTAACTCCATCAATTTGAAAATACTTCCTTCAGCAAGACCCGCGCTGCTGCCCTGGGAACAGTTTACCCAGGACTGTGTTAGACACCGAGTTGTTAAGGCAGAGAAGTGCTGCTGCTGCTCTTCAAGGGAGGAGGAGGAGTGGGGTACACAGGAGCAGGTGAGAGGCTGAAGCTGTTCCCAGCGCTGCGAAATCACCGCTGCTGAGGATGAGGGGTCCAAAGCCACCCCATCCCTGCCATCCCCTGCAGGCAGGAAACACGCACCCCACGGCCAGAGGCACACAGGCTCCTTCCTCAGCCCTTCTATATAAACAGGTACCATTTCTGATTTTATTTCATCATAGCATACAGGTAATGCTCATGACACAACAAGATGAGGAACTCACATCTCTCTGAACCATTTAAACAGCTTGCCATACACCAAAGAACATTATATTCATATGGAACATGTACACATTTCCCCTCCCCACCCCGGCCTCGCATCCTCCACGTTGCTTTCCAAACTTGTACAGACCATTTCCAGCATTGTTCAGGTCCAGGACACTGGTTCAGACAGGAGACAGGGCACCACCCTGTGCAGGACATGGGGTTAAGGCTTCCTCCTACGGGAACCCCTCCCCTAAAAATACTGAGCCTACAGCTTTGATTCATTCAGTGACTGTGGCATATTGGGAATCACGAGGAGCCAGAAGACCAGATTTCAGTTCCTTATTAACCAAATGAAACCCAAACATACGTGTTTGTATGTATAGCGAGGAGGGGAGAACACACACGTGTGAAGAAGCACAAAAGACAGGAAGATTCTGTTTCTGCCTCCAGGGATTGATTTGTGTTAACCCCTGTTAACTGATCTGAACCAAAGACATGGGCTTTCACTGAAATCTGGCTGAGAGGAGCACTGCTACATCGTTTACGTACATATATATACACACAGGGAGCGTGTGTATGTGCTGAAAATAGCTGTAATGTAATCACTTTCACTTGATATGTAAACAGAGACAAGTGGCAGTATGTTTAATGAATAGCCAAGACCTGACATGCTTTCCAGCCCGCTGTCAACCTCGCCCGTGCCGAGAGTACCCCTTCTTCCAGCATCTCACACACACCTGGGGAACACAGCCTCTGGGTTCAGTTACTCCTGGTGCTGCCTCTCACTCTCTCTCTCTCTCTCTCTCTGTGCCTTTTTGCACTTCTTTTAGGATCAAGTTAATCAATGCTGCAGCTTTCAGTGCTATTTTAAAACAGTCCACTGTAGGAAATTAAAGTCACATCCTAGCCACAAAACAAAGTGACAAAATCTTCTCCACTTTTCAATATAGTAAAACCTGAGATTTGAGTCACAAACTAGCTAAACTTACAGTAAAAACAAAACAAAAACAAAACAAAAAAAACCAACCCCAAAGCATAACCCAAGCTGCTGACTTGAATTAGGGCTTCAGTTTGCTGCTGACAAGTATTTTTTTTTAAAGCTGTTGGCTGGGGTAAGTATTTGTTACACGAGATTTACAATTTTCAGCTGCCTGCACAGAAATGGGACAAAACAATATAGTTTCACCCTCCTCCTCCCCCCCCCGCCCCGCCCCGTAGGTGTGTTGAGGG